TTGTTTGCTCAGTCATTCATCCATTCTCTCTTACATAGAACCTGGCAGTAAGCTACATAGGCAGTCATGGCCAAACCAGACAAAGCTAGGCCTTCGTGGAATAGATCAGAAGGAGAGGCAGATACTAAACAAATACAGTAAAATGAAATTATGAATTGTGAAGAATCCCAATGGTAAAATTGGGTTGAGGAATAGGAGATGATGGGTTTTGGCAATGCTTGTTTAAGTCGGTGGTATTTCATAAAATCTCTATTGAAGATACAAATTTGATATTGAAACTTTATTGCTTTTGTTTCTGTATTATTTGTTCAGAATTTCCATAGAGCCACAAATGAGCCAACTTGCCTATCACTGGATGTTGAGGGCTGGGATAGCCCCAGGGTACAGTTTGGGAACAGTCAAAAGATGCTCAGTAAGAAATGTGTGGCCATTCCATCCATCATGGGCTTGCGATTCAGCTGAATCGGCTGGAAGATGCAAATGGAAATTCACCAAAGCTTGACTTAGGGAGACACATTTTTCCCAGGCTCTGCTTGCATGTCCAGGAATTTGTGGTCCCCAAGCTATGCTGGAATTATATGATTTTTAAATAGAAAATGTGTATGTTATGTACCCTAGGAAACTTCCACTTTATTTTTTACATGTCCTAAAATAAGTGCCTTCCTCTGATGGGAAAAATAATCTATATTTTATTCTTTCAGAGAAAAAAATGAAAACATAATTCTCTATGATAGACTCTGTCATATTTCTAAAATGCCAAAAATGTGGACCAGGGAGGCAATTTAACGTTTAGTCGTGTGTGATACACCTCTGCAGTCTACTGTATGATTTGTTTTTGAGCATCAAAAAATGTCATAAATACATGGCTATTTTCATAAATCCAGAAAAAAGTTTCTGTCATGTGAAAAAAACAAGTTTTATTTTTATCTCTACTGTATTTTAAAGAGCTGTATTTCCTCGTTTTGGGATAAGTTTGGTGAAGACTTTTTAACAGTATAAATAACTGAGAAGTCCAGTACTTTTTATAATGTGGCTCTTTATTCAGTTCTTTACTGTAAATGCATCATTTCGCTCCATTATTTAACTGTATTTTTATCAATTCTGTTCCTATTCACAATTCTATCGACATACATTTCCTAATACAAATTTTAACCACTTTCTATTTCCAGTCTTCCATGGTAGTATGTATAACAAAGACTCTTTACATATTGAAGAAAAAGATGTTTGCATTCATTCATTCATTCGTTCAAAAAATATTGATTATGCATCTCCTATATGCCAAGTACTATTTTTAGTCTGGGAAAACAAAAGTGAACAAAACAGGCAAAAAGATAGGTTTTCATTTAGCTTATATTCTGGTGTGAAGAGATAGACAATAAACATAGTAAGTAAATGAATTATCTTTGTGTATTAAGTGATGAGTCTCACTGGGAACATATATCAGACACCTGTAGAAGCATATTTTATTGCAAACGTGCTTTTTATTGCAGAGCTCAAACCATATTATTTGAAAAGCTTATAGAATTCCTAATATAAATCTAGAGTCACAATGTAATATATTACATAAATATGTACATCATTCTATAATATATTAACATTTAATATAATTCGATTTTATTCATATATACTTAACATCATTTATTGGCGTGGACACTGTTGGTCACTTTCATATTGACAATTCATTTAATTCCCAATATGACCTCATGAGGCAGGATTTTTTATTTCAACTATATATATGAGAAATATGATCTGGACAGATTAAATCATTTGCCCCAGTGGATGAAGCAAGCAAGAGACAAAGCTGGAATTCAATTCCAGATTTTCGATTCTCAATCCTTCACTCTACGTTGCTTCATCAAATGCTCCCAGGTAGTTTATTATAACATTTTGTCCTTTACTTTGAGATGGTATCAAGATTTTAGATTTTGATGTTTTTCCAAGAAAAATAATAGGTACCCAGTTATAAAACAACTGTCAGGGGGTCTAGCAAAGTGATTTCTGAGGAAACATTTTGTATATCTCTCAAGAGGCAAGAGGCAAGTGATTCAGAGTGCATAGTATTAATATCCAGTCACACTCATTCTTTTCCCCATTCTGGTCAGCAGGATTGTAAGTCTTACATTGTAGTGGTGGACAAGTTAAATGTATTCCTTCACTGTGAATATTATCTTAGAAACCATAGGAGTAATCAGGAGCTCTTATTTCCAACAGTGCTGCTGTTGGCATTTGATAATTCTGAACTTGCTGGTGGGATTGACATGATTGTTCACATAGTTTTCATTTCACATACACAGTGTATGCACCTGTTGTCGGACTGGCTAAAGCTGTTCTGGTCTTTTGGTATTGGGCCATGCTGATACAGGGTGTTATAAATATTACAGGGACAGCAGCAGTCTGTACCACAGGATAATCTAACATAATTTTACCGTCCAGCTCATTTCCCATGTATTCTTCATAGTCTGAGATGAGTGGTAAAATTTTAGATTATGTTATTGGAAGGTATTAGAAAATGTGGCCAGTAATTACACTGTGTTTAAAATATATGTCATGTAAGGTATACTAGTAAAAGTAACACTGCTCTTGCTTAATCTGATCTTCATTGGGGGAAAGGGTGGGGTGATATTTTCAAAATAAAAATAACGTATAGTTTAAAAATATGCCCTACTCGTGCGAAATCCCTGCTGAACTTGAGCCAGCTATCATAGAGAGAAGCATCCATGATTACAAAAGAAAATAATGTGAGGTGGGAATTGTGGATACGGTGTGTTTGGCTTGCATGACTCTGATATATTTGGAAGCATCTGTCTTCTCCTTTCACCTGGATGTCTGTTTGTTTACTTTGGCCTTCTACAGGCTACTCAGCTTCCTCTAATCCCCATGTCCAAAGGTTCAACCTATATTCGGTTCCAAACACTCCTTATGAGTTTAGCATTACCAACAATTACAACCTTTGGGGGGAATCATGTCTCAATTTGCAATTAAACTCTTGAGTTTAAATAGTTTTCTCATCAATAAAAATGCAATATCCCTTAACAAGGGGAAAGATCTACTCAATCATGTTCTCCCAAAGTATCACATACAGAAAGTATTATTAACTGATGTTCTAGTCCTCTCTCTTATATTCATGAACATTTGGTAAGCACCTATGATAACATGTGTTAGGCAGAGGTCAAATTCCAAAACAATTTTCCTGACTCATTGCTCTTTATGATGTATTATTATTTAAAAAGCACTTATATAGTGTGTCCTATGTGGCAGGCTTGGTTCTAAGCACTTTATAAATATTAACTTTCTAATTCACATAGCAGTCTTAGGAGGAAGGTGTTGTCCAAGGTTACCCAAATAGTGCCGGTGGATTTGTTAGCCAGTCTATTTGAACCCAGTAGTTTGGGTCAAGGGTTTGTGCCCTCCTACACCACGCTAGGCTTTGTTTATAGTAACGCTGTGTGTGCCGTCAAAAATACGATATGGACCCTGGCTTCAAAGGGTTTGCAGTCTAAATCTGTTTCTTCTTTTTTTCCATACATAAATCTTCAGAGTTTTTATTGACCACTATGATTTATTAATTTACTGAATATATTTACTTATTAAGCATCTCCCATGTGGACCCACGTACTGAGATAGACATGGAGATATATGAATAATGTAGGCCTGACTGTTGAGTAGGGCTGGCATGAATGCTAATGGAAGTAGGATTTCAAATAAAATCTTCCAGAAGGAATAATGCTTGAATATTGAGGAATGATGCATGAATGAACAGAGAGAGGTAGGGATTGCAAGTAGAAGGCATGGTGGTGTGTGAAGGAGCAGGTTGGAGGTCAGGAATGGAGATGATTAAGAGGTGGATGTGACCAGAGGAGGAGGACAGGGTCTAAGTTTGAATAGCCCTGTGTTCCTTATAAAGATACAGAATTCATTCTATCAGTCAGGGCAATAGTTAAGGCATTTAAGTACTGAAAAACAAAACAAAACAAAACAAAACATGGTATTCACAATAGGAGAAATACTGCAATTTAGATTCATAAAATTGACAGGTTGATTCAGCGATGCCTTTAAGAGTCATGTGGATTCCTAATTTTATTGTTGTTGTTATTTACCAATTTTGCCTCATCTCCCACCACCTCTTCTGGCTCTTCTTCCTCAGCCTCTTCCCTCTTTTGCTCTGACCACCATCCAGGCTCATCACTCCTAGTAATATGAAGTATCTTAACTTTATCAGGATTTAATCTCAAGTTTTCAAAAAAACAACCAGTATCTTCCAAAAAGCCTCATAATGTATTTACATTTCAGCCTTCTTTCTACAAGTCAACTCAAAAATTCCTTTTACTAATGGAATTTCAATCACCATTGTGAGAAAGAGGAATATTTACATGGGCGAGCAATCAACTATTAGAATTATAATACTCGTTCTATAAACAAGAATTTTAAGACTTCAGTAATGCTCCTTTCCTCACCAATCCTGCCTCACTCAAGGTTTGAGAAGCGCTAATTGAGAGAAACTGAAGCATCGCATATCTCCAAAGTGCTTCAAGACTGCGTTCGTCTCTACCCTTTCTCAACCACGTCCTTCTCACACAAAGCCCACCACCCTCTCTGTGTCTGTTTCCTCTCCTATGTTTTTCTAAAAGAGATATTAGAAAATAATGCAGTGGGAACTACTTTATAAAAGCACAATGCAGACGAAAGGCATGGCTGTTAATTTATATTTCCAGGTAGAACTGAGCTCTATATTTCTATGCAGCAGTATTCCTCCAAGGAGCTCTATATGTACATGGCTAAAATGTTCATCTTCCTGTAATAGTGAGCACAATTCAGTTCTCCTTCAGTTCTTGCACACGAGGTCATCTTTGTCCTTGCCAGCCTTTTGGAGACTCTTTCATTTCTAGAGATAAACTTAAAGACTAAATTTCTGAATGGCCCTTTATTTGCATTAATGATGTCCTCCACGGGAAAGGTACTAGTTTTCATGTTGAATTCGTATGCCTTCTTTCTTTTCTCAGATGGAGGAAGCAATGGAGACACACTTTGGTGGGGATGGCCGAAGAGCTGTCCTCTACAGGCCTTCAAACAGCAAAACAGAGCTTCAGCTCTACCAGCGCATTCTCAGGGGACATCACTATACAGTTGTCATCGCTGAAGAAAGGCTGGATGCTGGCCTTGGGCTGGGGCTGCTGGAACAAGGTCAGAATGATAAGAAGTAAATACCAAAGTCACTTGACATACAATGTTAGACTATTTCCAGTACTTACTACTGTCTCCTCTAAAACAAAACCCATTTTTTCTCATACCCTGGAAAACTCCGCTCCTTTTTCTTTTTTTACTTCTTTTCAATTTTTCTTTAGCTTTATCTCTTTTTTCCCTGAAATTATTTTGTTTATATTTCTGTAGCAATTTGAAGTTGCATAGTTCATGTTTAAATGCTACATAAAAAATGTTTATGTTTATGAGCCTGAATACATGTTCTGCCCAAACCCAAACGGCTCCATATTTTAAGAAAATTGCCACTTCATCTGACTGCAAGTAGAATGTGCTGAAATTGTTTCCAGAAACCAACTTAAATGTGATTCACAGGTTGGTTCTAAATATGAAAGAAGTATGGGCACTTATCAGTCTACCATTACTTGTCACGTACTTTTATTTCTGTCATTTGAAGAGGAAAATAAGAGATGAGTTTTTAAACAAGTTATTTGAGAATAAAGTTGAGTAGGTGATGAGGGTCAAAAAGGGCAATAAGAATTGACATCTCTTGAGCAACTAACCACGTGGCAGATTCCATGTAATAGTCTGTGTTCATGACTCCAGTCACGGTAGCCAGTTGCGTACCCTAAGCTTAAAAAATAGCTTCCAGAAGAGGAAACTGAGGCTTCAAGGGGTGAAGTGACTCACTGTGGACGTACGTCTGATACAAGTGCAGAATGGATGGTGACACCTGTGTTTCCACCTTAACCCTCACTTTCTCTGCTCTGCCTTTTGCAACCACATTCTCCTGCTCTGGTCCCTTGTCCTGCCTGGATCATTATGAGAGCTACAGTGATGTGGCTCAGTGCAAACTCACTCAGTGCAAACAGATCAGATTTTTCTCTTCATGGTTATACAATATACCTATTTTTCTATTTATTCAAAGAGGATGGGGAGAAGCAATTTGACTGGAACTGCTGCTCTCAGTCATGGTTTGCTTTGGGGGAGGATAGTCAGATTTCAGTACCACAACTGTTTTTAAAACAATCTTACCATCATTATAGCACTTCCGCAGCCGGGTCCCCTGGCTGGTTGGTGCTGGTGGGTGGAAGCAAGTTGGGAAGATGTTTCTGAGAAGTCTTGCAGAGTAATTTGGTCATGATCACTTTTTATCACATTGGCATTGAAATTGTAAGCTACTTCCTTACCAAAGCTCTGAGAGAACAGAGCCCAAGAAGATCTGCTTTGATGAGAAAAATGAAGGTCTTAAGATATGCAGTCTGGGCCATGAAGGTGGGTGACTATTACTCCATTTACTCATTCCTGCCCTCCAGGAGTACTACGAATATCTAAAGCTTCTGGAAACCAATAAGAAAAGTAATAGCAACTAGGAAAGCTCTGGAATATTCTGGAGAGCTGAAGACAAACTTTGCAACCCTTTTAATTTTGTTGGTGTTAGCTGTATAAACAGGGACCAGCCTAAAGTTCTGGAACACCCTTAAATGTTATTCAGAAACCTATTTCATAGAATAGTTTTTAGTTTCAAGATAAGATATAAGATGTTCAGTTGCTTTCTCATCCCATAGAATATTTCCTACCATCCCTGATTGTGTAACCACTGCATGCTGCTGTCTGAGCAGCTCCCAGAGTCGTGCTAAGTGGCCCATGTGCCACTATTTTCTAAAATTCCTAAATTCTCCCACCTCCTTGGTGCTGCTACTGACTTTCTATGGGCACAACACGGATTATGTGTACATTTCAACATGAATTCACCATCCATTTTTAACCTTATCCGGCTCAATGAATTATATCTCCTCTCTCCCTTGATATCCTTGGGTCAGTTTTACAGGAAAAGGAGGAATTACTCTGCAGCTTCCAAATATTAAAGATGTGTGGGGACAACCTGAAGGTAATGGAATCCGGCAGCCAGAGGAGCTGCTGGGCCAAGTGGCACAAGAGAACTATATGGTGTCACCAAAGTTTGTCAGAGGAAATACTAATAGAGTTCTTTTTCCTCACATTCCCACAGCTTTTAAAACCTCTACTTCCTAACTCTTTCTTGGCATTCTTTCCTTTTATTCTGCATAGTAATGTATTATTCCTGGATAGGCCTCAGGAAAGCTTGACAATTTCATGACTATGAAAAAGTGATTTTTGGCTTTTCGTTTGTTTTTGTTGTTTTCGCTGTGAGTGCAGTGTGCTCCGAACACTTGAAATAAAAAAAGTTGTAACTGTACATCTAACATTTTCCTGATTATTTATCATATAAAAAAGGCCGCTTTTAATTACCGCTTATGTGCCAGGGCCACAGATTTAACCTACAAATGACATCTGAACTGAGGTACTTGCTTATAAATTTTTTTTTTCTAGAGTGGTGATTCTTATAGAATTTGTTTAGTTTAGCTTCACATCTTCACCTCACGGCTATTTGACTGTGTGGGCATCAGCCAGCAGAACATGAAACTGTACTGGCACATTTAAACGTCAACTTCCCAAGTTGAGAAGTGTGGGGGAGGGGCAATAATTCAAGATGATCTGGAGACCTACTCATTTTGTCATTGCAACTTCCATGTACCATTATTAGTTCTTTGCTGACCTGTAATTGGAAAATATTACATAAGAAACAAAATACACACTCCCACAAATGTTACTGAACACCTAGGTGCAGATTTGACACATTGATAAAATGCATTCCAGGTCAGAGGGCTGTGCACATGAAATACATTTTCCCTGTTCCACCTGTGCACTTCACCTGCTGTCCTCTCCTCTCCTGGCTTAGCCCATAGATTCTGCTTTCCTCTTTTTGTGCGTAGAGCCACTTCTAGCTTAGAACCACTTCTTGTTCTTTTGTAACTCTTTGAAGGCAGAAAAGGATAAAAATTAGAAAAATTAAAAGATCCATAGATCAGACAAGCAATATTCAACTCTTAAAGATAACCTATACTGGTAGAGCAACTTTGGGGCTTTGTTTTTGATGTAATTTTCCTAACACCAATTAATTAAACGTTTATTAAAGGAAAAGCAATCTCAAGTCCTAAGTTAGAATATGGGTGTTATGTCTCGTCCCACCCCATTAATTGCATTCTAGTGACATAGTAGAAGGTGATGGCTCTTCTGGGAAAGACCACAGGGCTATGAATTTAGGCGCTTAAGCAAGTTATGTTTTCTGAGCCCTGGTTCTCTTATCTGTTAAAGGCAGTAATAATATTTATTTCAGAGCAGTATGTGGTTTTAATCACCTTGTCCAGCCTCATCAGAGTCCTGGGAGGAGACAAAGTCATGGCCTTTATATCATTCAATAGTCTGGGAATGAGGTCTAGAATTTTACATATTAAAAATAGACACAAGCAATTCTTTGGTATTACCCGGTTTGGGAAAGACTGTTCTGAGGGATATAGTTTTGATTCATAGAGTGGCAATTTTTAGAGTTAATACTGGGAATAAAATGCTACAAAATTCTGCTTGCACTATTTATGATTTAACTGTGTAGGCATTTACAACTGGCATTTCATCTTTATATTGACTTTGAGAACAGTATGAGACAAGTGGATTTACAAATTTAGGTCTAAAACATGTAGCAGAATGAAAACATACACTTTTATGGTGTTCCAATCCCTTGTTTTAGAAAAATATACCTATGTCTCTGTGTTTGTGAGAACATATAATTCTCTAAAGGAAAAGGGAGAAGCACCATCCAAATATTCTTTCCTATCACGTATGTGATATTCAGTAAGTCAGTACTTCAGTTATAGCAGCCGAAAGGAGAATAAATGTTTTCCAAAAATTTTAGCCTGCTTTCATGGAGACATCCAAGACTGTGTGGTCAAAGGGAGTCTGACTCCGAATAGATCTTTGTCACTGGGTAAGAATTATTTATGTATAATTGAAGAGTAGTGCATATTTGGCAATTTTCTGTCAGTTTCTGAACACATCTTACATGTGCAAAATTTTATATACTTTAATTTGTGTGAAAAACAAAATTCAGTCTTGAAATGAATGTTACAGAATTGGAGTTAGTCTGATAGTTTCAAATTGTACTTTTTTTTTTTTGTAGGAGTGAAGTTTTATATAGAAAATTTTTGAAGAAACATAGAAAGTAAAAGACCATAGTGATTTTCTTCCTAGGACCTCGCAAACTGTAGCCCACTGGCCAAGTTTAGCTCACTTCCTATTTTTGTAAATAAAGTTTTATTGGAACACAGCCACACTCATTTTTATTTGTATGGCCTTTGGCTGCTTTTGTTCTAGAAAGGCAGAGTTTGTTGCAACAGAGATAGTATAGCATTTAAAGACTAAAATTTTTATTAGTAGGCATTTTATTGAAAAAAGTTTGTGGATCCTTGTATCTAGACTAATTCTAGTAACTCAATTCCATGCCAAGCTGAAGATTAAATTCTAGGCCTGGAATATTTCATTTTTTAACTTGTACCAAACTTCATTTAAAAAGGAATTGACTATTTGCAATACAACCTATAGTAACAAAATAACTAAAATGGAAATACAGTAGAACCTCCATAACTGACCACCTCCCTACCTTGACCACCTCCTTAAGCTGACCTAATCTTCATGGACCAGACATGTGCCACATGTACTACCAGTACAGTAGGCCTAGTTCCTTATGTTGACCTCATCCATGTATTGCCAGTTTGTTACAGTGCCTTCGGTAGTCTACTTATAGAAATTTTACTCTATAAATTTCGGGCAAAAACTGGATATTCTTCTTAGCTAACATAATTCAGATTTAGTTTGGGAACTTCCAAGCACCTAGAACAAAGAAAAAATAAAAGGTTTTTTCTCAGGAAGAAAGGATCATTATGGTTCCTGCCTCTAATTTCCCTTCTTCCCAAAGTAGTATATTGATGTGGTCCCCAACGCCACATTCTGTGGCCCATCAGGAACCGGGGCCACAAAGCAGAGGGTGAGCAAGCACAAGGTGTATTTGCAGCCACTCACAGTCATTCGCATCCACCTTCTGAGCTGCGCCTCCTGCCAGTTCAGCAGTG